AAAAAAAAAAAAAAAAAAAAAAAAAAAAGTTTTTAGTACCTCCCCTCTTCCGTAATAATAAGCTTTCCTCTCTACTTACATCTTCTCATGTTTGCGATATCCTTCCCAACTCATCAAAATCCTCATGTTTTGCACTCAAGTGTCATGGAATTATTGAGTATCTAAGTAAGTAGACATTTGACATCACTATGACTAAAGTCTCTATTTTATAAGTGAATAAACCAAGGCCAAAATACGAGAGGAATTGTACAAAAGATGTGGAACTAGAAATTTTTAAAAACTTGCTGTAATAGAAACAGTGTATAATTATCTACCACAGAAACCTTGGCTAGAGTTTTGGTTGTGCTACTTAGTAAGTGTACAGATTTTAAATATTTATGTGAATATAAATAATGGTTCTTGAGAACAATCTTATACTCTCTGTGCTTAATTTTTTCACCTGCAAATTAGGATAATCACCTTTACATTGTGGAATTGGGAGGAGTTTATGAAATAAGATATTAGAAAACAACAACTGGCAAGATCTGTGGTAGGAAAGTGCAGGCATGTTTGAGAAACAGAAGGAACAGATCATACTAGAAGAGAGTATGTAAAGGTGGTAGGAGATGAGATCATCTGGGAAATCACATTATTTAAGGCCCTTGGATCATGACAGACTTTGGACTTTGTTTTTCTTTGAGAGAGATGAGGTACTCTGGTGGAGAATTTTAAGCAGAAAAATGACATGATATGATTTATGTCTTAAAAAATATCCACCTTACTTCTGTGACCAGAATAGACTACAGAGAGAGGCAGAGAGAGCTACCAGGATACTGCAATAATCCTGACAAAAGATGACCATGGCCTAGACCAGAGCATATCAGTAGAGGTGCTAAGAAATTTTTGGATTCTTGGGACCAGCAGTTAGCGTAATGGCTATGTTGCTGGACTCCCATGTATTTGACCATGGTTCGAGTCCCAGACCCGGTGGCTTAAAACTCATGTTGGGCGCATGTGTTTGCATGCCCAAGATCCTGAGAGGAGAATGGAGGAGAAGGGACTGCAGCGTGACCATCACCCCTGGGGGCTGATTCCTCGCTTTCTGTCTTTCTGTCTGTCTCTGTCTGTCTGGCGAGTACACACATCCTATGGCAAAAAACTCTCAAAAAAAAAAAAAGAAGGAAATATTTGGATTCCAGAATTTGCTTATGGAATGGATATGAAGTATAAGAGAGAGGAAAAAAAAAAGACTCAGGATTATGCCAAGATTTTTGGTTTGTTCAATTGAAACAAAGAGCATATTTGGTAGAACTAAACAATCAATTTCATTTTGGAGATAGTAATTTTTGAATATAAGTAGAAATGTTGAATAAAGAGTTGGACACATGAGTCAAGTTCATAGGGCAGGACCTGTTAATAACATTACAAATGTTGTAGTCAATAGGGTACAGATGCTGTTCCTAGATGAGATTATCCAGAATATGAGTATGGGAAAGGTGGAGAAGATGTCAGAAGACTAAGCAATGAAGAACATGGGGGCATATTCAGATCAGGAAAATGAGAAAGAATATGTCACAGAGATTAAGGCTAGGGGCAGGCCTTCAGAAGAAGACTTCTCTATGGCTCCTGAGAACTAGTGATTTTGCATGGCATGCTTGCTCGCTGTGTGGTTTTTTATTTTTTGCTTTTTTTAAAAAAAATAAGTCTTTTGGTTGTTTTTTTTTCTTTTTTTATTCTTTTTCTCTCTGTTACTTTTCTCTTTTCTTTTCTCTCTCTTTCTCTGCTTCCTTTTCTTTTTCTTTGATCTCATCACTCTGCTCCTCAATCTCTATTCTCTGCGTTTCAAAACAGATCTAAGGGAACCATAGTCAAACATCCAAATACTATTAGGGTTAACATATTCCTCAATATCCACTGAATCTGTTGCACAAAGGGATAAAAATGAAATGACAAAGAGATCCCAGATCACCTCCTTCTGCACGCTCCTAAATGCACAGATTGAACTTCAAGAATTAGGAAGAAACACACCATCCATCAGATGACTAGAAATCGCCACTGGACCATAAGATATAGGGGAAAGCAAGAAAATACTTCTCCTCCTAGGGAAAAGAATAACTACAGTTCAATGGAAATCATGGAAATGTCTGATAAAGAATTTAGAATATTAGTAATGACAAAGTTAACAGAGATGGAAGAGAAGAGAGATAATGAACTGAGGAAGAGGCAGGAGAAAGGAGCTGACAAGTTCCAGGAGATGAGGAAATTCTTGCAAGGTCTAAAAAAGGAATTACACACTTTAAAAAATAATCAAATGGACCTGTTAGAGATGAAGGCTATAATACAAAAAGTCAAAATCTTCCTTGAAAGTATTAAAAGCAGACTAGATTGTACAGAAATAGAATCTCAGACATAGAAGAGAAAATTGGTGGCCTAGAGAAATCCACCACAAAGATTGAGAAAATTGCCCAAAAAATGAGAATAATATACAATAAATACTAGATACCATCAAACGTCCAAACATCCATATAATTAGTATCCCAAAAGGTGAAGAGACTCATAAGGACATTGATAATCTATTCCATGAAATACTGGAAGAAAACTTCCCAAACCTAGAG